TTTTATTACATTTAACAGCCGACTTCAAAAGAGCTGAGGACACACAGAGGAATAGGGTGACCCAGCATCGCAATTTGCCAGTGAGTAGGGGATTTCTTAGGATGCGGGACTTTAAGTGTTAAAACCAGGGCAGTCAGTGGAAAACCAGGATCGTTGGTCACCTTACACAGGGATGACTTGAAGGTAACATTTTTATTAAGTAAGTTTTGCACTTTTGGATAATTTTTGAACCATCTCATTTAAGGAGAACTTCGATAAAATAGCTTCCATGTCTTCCTGAGGAGGAACGCTTTGTGTTGAGGATAGTGGGTGGTGGGAAGATGGGGAAGCCTCCAGTGGGAGGCTGGAGGTTGCTTTCAGCCCCATTTGCTTCTCCCAAGGGAAAGCTAAGGCACAAGGGGAGACAGGCGATTCTATAACCAAAGCCATTTTTCTTGTGATTTCTTGCTGTCTAAACTCCATGAGGCTAAGGCTAGAGTTACATTGTTAAGCTGTCCCAGAGGTCAGATCACTTGGCTCTTTTAATCTTTACTTAAATAATCTTTAATTATTTGCTCTTCATTTTTCCTGGAATGTCAACAACCCTACTTTGTCTCCACCTATGGAAATCTTGTGGCCTGCACTCAATTGTTCCCACCTCTGGAAGGCTACCTTCAAACTCCCAGGTAGAGTCAATTCCCCTTCCTGTGGGCTTCTAGAATATTATGGTCCTATAACACTTATCACACTATATCATGGTTAGCTATTTGTCCATCTTTCTGCTGAACTATACAATTTACTCCAGTTTAGGAACTGGAGGGTCTTTGGAACTCAGCAAAGAGAAGGCATCTGATTTAGTTACTAATCAAACTACATTGACATGATACCAGTAACAAAAGTTTCTATTAGTAACAAGAAAGACCTGCTAGAATTCTCCTGGCATTTTGAGGAAAAGACCATATGCATAATAAAATCTTGTGCATCTTAAATGGAATTCCACATTTTAGTGCTGAAATTCATGATTTCCCAATCACAATTGGGAAACTGACAGAGTGGAGGAGGATGGGAATATTGAGGGAGTGGGGAGTGATGCTTAGGGGTAGTGACAGCACCCGCACCATGGATTGGAAAACATTCCAGCACTCACAGGATTAGCCATCGTAGCCAGTGCTGCTGGGAGTCTGGCCCAAGCCCTGTGAATGTTCTGCATTGCTTCTGAGAGCCCATTCTGGTGCTTCTGTGTGTGTATTAATTTTAACAGCCTACTGCCCGTACCACCATCTTCATAAGATTGCCCTTGGGCTATGGGAGCCGCTTCCACTTCCGTTGCGGATGCAGGAAGCCAGAGCCCTTGGGAAATTGCATGTTTCCTTTCTACTCCCAGTCAAAGACTGATGGGCAGCATCACAGAAGCCCAGCTCTCTTACCAAGGATGCTATTTTCACTCCAGAACTCCCTCCCCAGGATTAGGCAGGGACTGGGTCTTGTCCTTGTCCTAAAATTGTACCCTGGCTTCTTCCCTTGCTGACTTGCTTTCCCCACACCACTTTGGGTTCCTCCTGGGAGTACTACTTTAACAAATTGCGTGTGCATTTTTGTTTCAACGTCTGCTTCCATATAATCTAACCCCAGACAAGATTTTAATTTTGTGGCTTCCTAGGGCAAGCTTCTTGCTAGAAAGACCCAAAGGCAAGTAGGTCCTCACCTCTGGCCTGTGAGGTCTGGCAATGGGTACACGTTATTCTTCAAGACTCACCTATACTTCAGGGGATCATTTTCAATACCTCTAGGATAAGGATGGTGAGAACAAACTGGAGACAGCTGGCCATATCATGCTGCACCTGTGGAGGGCTCGTTAAGCTGCTAGATTCACGGGAGAGTCTGATGAAGTCTTAAGAACTATTGTAAGCTTCCATAAATAGCTCCATATCTAACCCAACTTAAATAGAATTTATTCCAAGGTAAAAATATTTTTTTCCCTCTCATCACACTTTAAGGTTTTTTATGTCTTGATTCAAGCCAAGATGAGGATTGGAAACATTATAGCAATTTTTTTTTCTCTTTTGGAAATTATTCTTGGGAAACAGTTCTCTTGAAAAAGTTGGTTCTTATGAACTCTTCTGCCCGGTATTCAGATGCCTTTTCAGATCTTTGTAGAAAGATTCAGACTTCTATGTATTTTCTATGCAAATTTGACACATGTAAGAGTATTTCTTTCAGTTAACTGTGGAGATGGGGGTGGGGGAGCAGAAAGAAAGAAACACAATTTGCTGAACAGTCATTTATATTTGTTTTTATTTTCGGCTAAAAGGTCAGTAAAATTAACCATGTTCGATTGTGAAATGATTAGCTATGTTATTTCATGTAATCTTATACAGTAGATTTCCCGCTCTACTCCTTAGAACCAGATTGTGAAACAGATTTTACTCATTGGATGAGAGAGAGATTGGATGGTAGAAAATATTATTTTGTCAGGATTAACAGTTTGTCATATTTCCCTTAGTCAGCTTCAGAAATTTCCAGAAATACTTAGATCATTCAGTTGTTAAAGCATGCTAAACAAAGCCCGGCCTTTATGACAGAAGTCACATAGACGCACATTTTAGAATTTCCCCACTCACCGCTCAACCCTGCAGTCATACGTTTATAATGTCTCATCTCCTTTGGTAAACTGTCAGATCTGCAGACTCAAAATCTAATTGTTGACGTATCACCAAATGAAAAGTAACAAAAACAGGTAAACATCACCAAAATCAAGAACATTGTCTTAGCATTTAAACTTTAAAATGTATTTATACTACTCTGGACTCATCTTCTCCTTCCATCATCTTTAAGATTGTTATACATGAGTATCTGCTCTACTGCTTATGGTCCTGCAAGAACTAAAACTTCCAGGAGTATTAAACTATGGTTATAATTCATGCAGTGTGTAACTCAATGCTGAGAAGAAGCTACGCATGCATATGTATGCTCAAAATATAAGAATTTAAGAAAAATGTACGATGATGAAAAATGCATGGACTGAAAGTGAAAAGAGCTCAAAACAGCTCTGTAGCTGTGTGACTTTGCACAAATCACTTACATTCTTTGGCTTCCATCTCCTTGCCCTTAAAATACAACTAATCAAGCCTACATTTTGGTCTGAGCATGGAATTAACAACATTTCTGGCAGTGTTTTACAAATTGAAAAAAGGTGTTCAAATGTTAGTTTATTAAGTAAAGCTGAGGCTGGAAATACAGATTAAATATAAGGAGATAGCTAAAGTTCCATGGTAACAAATCATATCTTCCATATGTAATCTTTTATCAACCCACTTGACAAATATGCGTATTTTTTGAGGGACTATGATGTGCCAGATATTGCTGGAAAGATGTTTGGTGAACGAGACAGGCACCATTGAGCTCTAGACTGGAACACAGACGGTAAACGGAAAAGCTTTAGGGCCGCTTCAGGCAGTGGTAAGTGAGATACACAACAAAAGGGAGTCTTGGGGCACGCAGTTGGATCAGGACCAGATCAGGTAAGGACCTCCCACAGGAGGTGCCATTCGGGCTAGGACCTGAACAATGAGTCAGCTCGGTGAATGAAGGCCAGAGGGGACCATTCCAGGCTGAGGAAACAGCCCCTGCAAATCATGCCACCTGAGCAGCTGGTATATACTCAGATCCTTTACTTCTCAGTTTTCCCTCTTTCATCGTTCTTCACCTCTGTGCTTACCCATTTTCTATGAGACTTTTAGCATATCCTCGCGGGAGAACTATCTGATTCTAGACTGCTGGAGTAAAGCTGCACCAGCTTTAAGAAGTCCAAATCTTGTGTGGCTTCTTCATCCTCCTGCCCTAAACCCCTGGGAGCCCAGTGTCTGCTTTCCAGGGCCACCATTTAAGCTCCCAGGCTGAAAAGGAGTCTCTTGCTTCAAGGGAAAAGGCAAAAGAGAAGGAGACTGAGGCATACCATCTCCACTGGGAAAACAGAAATGGAATGATTAGGGGGAGAAAATGAGGTCTCAGCCCTTCCTTCCTAAAGGCAGAATGACACCCCATCCCTTCCAGCTCCCATTTAGTTCAAGCACCCAGAGCAGCAGCTGCACTTGGGGTGAATTGCGGAGCCCAGTACTCTGGTGAGAGGAAGTATCATTCATTTCCAACAGAAGCAAGGCGTTCCTCACCCTGTCTGCTCTATGTCAAACCAGATGCAGTGGCCTGGCCCCACCGAGGTGCCTGGGCAGGGGACGTGTGGGTGTATCATTGTCTCCCATGGGAAAGAAACCCTTTGTGTCTCTTGGCATTGCCTTTGGACCAGTGTAGAGGGCTCTCTCTAGGGGAAGTACTTATGAAAAATCCATTCCATCTCTTAGGATTGAACACGGTCCCCATGCACTCTGGCCATGAGAAGGCCAGGAGAGCACATGAGCCTTGGGCTGGCCTCCCTTGATGTGGTGGCTGCAAGAGTCACTTTGCATAGGATGGACACATAACCCCATTCCCGAAAGAGGCTTCCTGCTTCTGCTTCCAGAGATCTTCCATTAGAAGCCTGCTTCAAGGATGGAATTCTGACCATTTCTCATAAAGATGCCAGACTATGCAAGAATGCTGGAACCCAGATTCCAACACATATCCCCAAGCCCAATTTCCATGATCCAGAAGAACCCAATTTTGCCCGTGTCTATTCAACTTCTTTGTGTGTGTACACACACACACACACACACATATATAAAATATATTTATCAGGGAAAATAGGGGTGATGGAAGAAAAATCAGCTCAATAAGGGGGTTGAGCTAAAAACATGAGTTTCCCTCTGTGACACTTAATATAGGTATAGTCTATATGCGTTCGTTCTGATTCCCCCAGGAGGCAAGAGGTTTTGTTAATATTCATTTGGGGAGGAGAGAGGAAAGAGAAAAAGAAAACATGGGATAAAGGAGAGATTGTTAGAAAAGGTAATCTGGTTATTTATTTATAGTTTACTTAGCCAAAGGGACCTTAAAAAAGCTTTGATAAGAATGGCCCAAGTTTCTTCAAAGATTAACTGGCATTCTTTAAAAAGGCATCAGTTTTCTTTCGCACAGGTGTTTGGAGAGCCTGGACTGGATGCCCACTAGAATCCTGTGCTGGTCTGTAGATTTCCTGAAGACCTTAAGACATGCTGACATCATGGTCTCCTTTCTCAGATTCCTTCTCTCTCTCTTTCTCCCCCACTCTCTCTCTCTCTGTCTCTCACTTTCTCTCCTTTCCTCCCTCCCTCCCTCCTTCCCTGTCCCTCCCTCCTCTGCCCAATGTCTCCCAATCTCTTTCTTTCTCTCTTTAGTTCCTCCAGGTAATTCTTACTTAAACTTGTACCAACTTGTTTTTGACTGACAGTGAACAGTGAGAGAGTTTTCTTCATTTTGAGGAACCCTAAACACCTATCTTTCCCAAGGCAACCTGTCTGGACTGAGCATTTCTCTGACTTGACATAACTCCCCATCCAGCCAGGAGTCTGCACTCTTCCGTCTTTGCAGGTAAGAGGTACACGGTGCTTATGTCAATTCTGGGGCATGTGGCATCCTGGAGGTATTTTTGAAAAACTTTACTTCTAAAGGTAATGAAAACATTTGATTCTTTTAAAACTTATTTAAATCATTCAAGATGCCCGTGCTTATCTGGGGGAATTTACATGTGCTGTTTGCATGTGGAAAATGGGATTTTACTTAATGATGGGACAAAAAAAGTGTTTTATTCTTGCTCGTGAAACAATATCCAGATGTTGTCTTGTTTGCTGTGGGTCTACGGGGGTCTAGCTCGCGGGAGAATTACTCTGACTTCCCTTTGCAAGGGTCTGTCAGAGCAAGTTTGTTATTGATTTTCAGCGATTGCATAGTTCTTTGGCTAATTCTGAAGCAGTTACTTTCCTTTGTCAGTGGGGAAATCAGTTTGGATTGCCGTAAGGCGAAACCTCGCTGGAATCTTTTAAAATCTGTTACCTATCCTTATAAGAAAAGTTATGTAAGTTTTCTGTGGTAGGTGGATGGAATGTAAACAATCCTGACTTTGGAAACATTATGAACTGTGTTCACGACCCATGATTAATCTGTTTTTTAATCTGTGTGTAATTTCGTGAGAGTTTAGACTATTCTCAGCTAATAAATGTTATACTGGGTGAAATTTCCACATTGCTCCTGTAACGCCAACGTTTGTCTCCTCTGTACTTCCGCATTTAGTCGCTTGAAGGAAATAAGAATTTATTGTTCAATAGACGTTTATTGACCTCATAATTTCTTTAACCCACAGGTTAGAAAACTTACAACGAATGTAGTATTTAACTGTGGAAAACTAAAGACCAAAAATGTGTACCATTAATTTAAATGTTTAGATTTATTTTTATCTGAACATATCTTAATATTTTTCCCTTTAACCTGTAAGAGGGATTTTGAAAAAAAAATCCAAGTGATTCTTAATATCCATTTTTTTTGCAACCTCAGGATCACACGCACACACTCACACTCATGCATGATCAACTGTTATCCCCAATCCTATCTTATTTTGTCCTCTCATGAATGTTTAAACAAATATGAAACAATCAGTAGTAATAGCCTTAGGTGACAAATTCTGTCCTATTTAAAATTGTCCTAAAAATCAAAAGAAAAGTGTCCCATAAAGGTATAATACATTTTTAAATACCATCATTTTGTGAAAACTAAATACAGTATCAGAGACACTTCCAGCCGAGTAATAAGTAAGTAAGCACTTACCTCACACACAGCTTCCCCGGGCGCTGTTCTTTCTTTCCATACCTTCTAGGGTTTTACTTTTTAGCAGTTTTTCTCTTTCTCTAACTGTTAATATAATAAATGACCATCCACCCAGAGGTAACAAGGCAAGTCTTCCCAAAATACTGAAGAGTAGAAGAGTTTAACCAAATTGTCGGTAGCAGCATGTCAGAAACGCTCATCAAATAACGGAACAGACTTTTCTTCACTGAATTAAATAAACGTATAAATAGTCTGGGGATTTTAGAGAAATTGCCTTAGTTGAACTTTGTGATTCTGGTTGCTTAAGAAAAACACATTTTTCTAAAACGTCCCCTCTCCATCTTTCCACTCCTTCCTCCCACTAACAGTTGTGGTCATTTTACAGAAAGTCTTATTTCCCCAATTTCCTCTCCTCACACTTCTCACCAGTGCAGACAGCCAGTGTTTTGGGGGGAAAGAGAGCAAGACCCCAGGCTGCATATGCCAGCAAACCTGAGAAGCCAACAAAAGCAGGTCTCCGGGCTCTTTCCCACAAGGCTCAGCACAACCTCACTCTGCTTCTGCATCGAGGAAATCTCGAAAGGGCTGTGCTTTCTTGGGGCGTGTGTGTGTGTGTGTGTGTGTGTGTGGTGTGCACAATTATATACCTGAATAACAATGACATGCTCGGTACAAGAAAACCCACCAATATGTGACTTTAGACATGGAATAGAGAGGCAAAGTTATTCGGATTTAATCAGTACATGCCAAATCCTTGAAATATCCTTTCCTGTCCAATCTCCTCTCATCTGTTTAGAGACTCGAAGCAACCCACGAACTTTTTTGCATACTTTGCCTCAGAGTTCAGGGTTGCTTATGAAATGTAGTTGCATGGTGGATGCGTCAGAGTCTTAGAGCCAACCTAACAGTCCAGAGACTGAGCTGTAAGCATGAGAAAGCTGTAAATGACTGGTCCTTGGGAATGCGTGTTGAGGGCATATACACCTCCCTAATAATTTTCTTCAGTCTTTAATATGTAAGTCATACAGTTATCGTTATTTTTTTCCCTGCAACAATTCAACCATTGCACCCCAGATTAAATCGTGTATCTCTAAATGTGTTGTTTTAATTCTTTAATTCTTTCAATCTCACACTGAAAATTGTCAGAAAGCTATTACATGAGTTAATATTAACTTTTACGTCTGCAAAGATGAGTTTGTTGCTTATTCATGGGCAAATACAAGAGGCAAGTCAGTCAGAGGTTATTGTCTATCTTCTCTCTTTTCTGTCCTTTACCTTTATCTCATAAAAGCCACCTCAGGAGTGGGACTTTTGGTGCAGTTGATGGTGGGATAAGGCCGGGCAGGTCCGGATCTAGAACAAAGTGAACCAAGGGTGGGCCTTACTCTGTGCGCCTCAAGGATGCAGTGCCCTGGAGGGAGACAGGTCTGACCCAACACACCTGGCTCAGGTAACTTCCTGGTGCCAGTTTTGCAGACAGGTGAAGGAGCAGTGTGACCCAGTAGTAGCTCCAGAGACAAGCAATCTAAGAAGTGCTAAATCTTCCCCAAAGGAACACAGGGAGCCTGCTCCCACCTTTAAAAGGAGAACTAAGGGCAGAGAGGGAGAGAAACTAAGTTATAATTTATAAATAAGGGTTTATAAACATTTAGGAAATGCAAATTCTTTCTTGGAACCTTTATTTATAAGTTATAACTTAGTTTCTCTCCCTCTATGTCCTCGATTCTCCATTTTATTTTATTTGCTAAGAAGTTTTATTTGCTAAATATTACTCTGTTGAAATGAAAGAAGAAAAATGAGAGAACAGATATTTCTGATAAAAAGGCAGGCAAGAAAGTTGAACTTGACAAGTGTAGCCTCTGGAACACATCTCTGGATTAATTCAGATGATAGTAGGGGGATCTCCACTCATCGTAATGCAGCTGGAATACACATAGTGAATTCTGTCACATTCCCAGGGAGAATTTCAGTCAGAAACACCTGTGCTATTCTCACAAGGGAAAGGTCAGAGCTCCATGAGGAGTTTGTGTATCTGCATTTGTCTTGATGGGCATTGTGCCTTAACTAGAGAAGAGATCAATAAACCAATGCCACCACCATCCAGTTTGAATCCAGAAGTTCACACTTGACCTAATTCCAGAATACAGTTCGTGCTTCTAGAAGTAAAATTCTAAAGCACACAATTCCAGATATTTTAGCCACTATACAAAGATGAATCAGGGTCACATGATCATGCTCACGTCAGAAGATGCAGGAGAAACAAAACACGCATGTGCCAGCCACCCGATCGTTTACAGTAGGGAGCATTTGAGTGGAAGGGCATGTCTGTACTACCTTAGGACTGAGGACCTACAGAGAGAACACTGGAAATAATTAGCAGCAGAATAACCCAGGTTTTGTTTGATTCCATCTCTACCACCCCACAGCTCGAATTCAGAGCAGTCAGTGTGTAGGGATCCACATTGAACCAGCCAAGCAGGCCCTCTCGTAGTAGCCTGGCCAGAAGTCACAGCAGCTGTGTTGGCTGCTGATTCCCTCATTCAGAGTTCAGACATCCTGAACCTGTCCACGTCCCTGGGATTACAGATAACACGGATCCTCAGAGTCACCGCTGGGCCATCAAACAAAAACGAGGGTGACGCAGAGAAGGAACACTGCAGCGGGGAGTGCAATTCTTAGGATGCCTGGGTTTTGGTTTCACTCGCATCCTGCTTCAGTCGGAGCTGCCCTGGTGTCAGGCGGATGGCTGTGGAACTCGTGTGCATTTTCTCTAGTGTCTGTACTGGAGGCTGGTGAAGATTTTACGGACCCTTAACACTGCACAATTTGGGGGCTTTCTTTAGAGGAAACAAATGCAAAATTAGGACTGTACTATTAGGTACAACGATTTGGATACGACCTGAGCAAGTGAGGAACCCTGAAGCTGAAGTTTCATTAACTTCTTGATAAATTCGCTCTGTGTCATACATAGTAAAGGCCTGATACTTGTCTCTTGAATGAATGGTTGAATTAATTTATGTAAATTTTAGCTGCTGGCTGCCCTCTCAATAACTGAAAAATGACAAGCAAAAAATACCAATCATGCTTATCCATATCTAGTGATCAGTGATATACAGAAAACTGATCTCAATGATGTCTAGAATGTTTCTCGCTTCATTGGTACCTTACCATGAAAGGTAGATCCTTGTACTTGAATCTTGAGATCATATCCCAGCCCAAGGGTAAGATGCTATCAAAGCCGCATTTCCTATGGTAGAGTATGTGAGTACTGAAATTAACTGTGCACTTTTTCCACTTGAGGAGCCCCCAACTTAAAACTTAAAGAATATTATGCTAGTTGTGCCACTAGACCCTAGAATGGTATTGAATGCATGAATAATAAGCATCTTCTCGAGCAGACTTGAGGGCTTGCCCCAGTGGAATATCTGTGTCTCTGGTGAGAAGCCTTCCTCTTTATTCCTTAGTTTCTATTAACGCTGTTTCCAGTTTTTGATAGCAGTTAATTGTGTCATTTCTTGGTAGAAATGCTGGCTAAACCCATGCCTACCAGGACAAATAATGTTCTTACTCAGTAATGTTTACATTTTCAAATATTTGCCGATTGATATCTCACTTCATCTTAGACCTCTTTGCCAAAAAATGCAAGGTCAGCTCCCTGAATCTTGCTTTCTTATTTCCTAAGTTATCCGTCATATCTATTCCAACCTTTAAAGGACACATTTGAAAAGTTTATCCTTTGCTTTCACAGTTCACGAAATTTGGCATCATTT